CTTATCACATCCAAAATCCCATCATTTCAATATGTATAGATCCTCATATATGTCCATGTTAAAGGAAACTTTGCCATAAATGCCTTTATAGTCATGGAGTAGATATCAACAAATTAACAATTCCTATAGAGCAATTCCAAGAATTGGCTTTCCAAAAATTACAAGACTATAAGCTCGACCAGACAGCAGAGTTAAACAAATAGAGGATGGCTTTTAAATCTGTCTTATCTAAAACTGAAGCTATGATGAAAAAAATATGGTAAGATTTATCAGACTCAATAAAATCATTATATGATTTAATCAATTAGGAAAACAATTCGTATATAAGTCTAATCAACCAAAATCCAGCAGAATCCTCTTACACTGATTTAGAAAAATTAGTTTCCATCCTTGTGAGAGGGAAATCAATAAATGCTTGGTATGCTTAGAAAAATTCCTATTTGATGTTATTAGAAAAGATTAAAAATGAATGGAACAACGGAATTAAGTCTTTTGCCTAAAATTCCAATGAAGTAATAAAAAAGTTGTAGTTTATTCAGTAAGAAGTTAAATTATATTTTAGGATTGAATAGAATCAAGAAGAAGGTGAAGTTTATTAAATGAAAGATGATCTATATGATATATTAGCCTCCATTCAGGATATAGATTAATTAATATTGTAAGGTATTCTCGATTTACAGAGAAAAGAGAAAACTACTGATTTTCTAGGATTTATTCAAAAATAATGTAATTATAATTTATATGAACTATTTATCAATTAGAAATAGGAAATTAGCTAAGTTAGGAAGAAAATTATTTTGATCAACAATATTTTTAGAAATATTTTACACCATCCTTTTAGTAAAAATGATTATTCAACAGATACTTATAAAAATGATAGACAAAATCTTATCAAGAAGTTAACAGGATAGGAAAAAATGGTTGATTTTCTGAAATTTTTAGTACAACTGACTAGTATTGATGAAAATTTTATTCAAAGTGGGTCAAATGCACTAAATTTATTAGTGGAGATGAAGGTTGATCTAACCAATCAAAACTTTGAGGATATAAGGATAAAGAATACATTTTTGATAGGCGCAAATTTCGTTAGTTGCAATTTTAGTGGATCAGTATTTGAGAATGTGGATATTAGTGGTGTCAATTTTAATGGAGCACTACTCTTTAATTGTAATTGGAAGAACATAAAGATTCATGAGTTAAATAGGTTGGATGGTCATAGTGACTTTGTCTCATCAGTATGCTTCTCACCAGATGGAACTACTTTAGCATCTGGTAGTTATGATAAGTCAATCAGATTATGGGATGTTAAAACAGGATAATA